CCATATGGACATATAAAAGTGGTTTTATCGTGATCTTTCAGAGCGATAAAAACTTGGTTGTAGCCCGAGTAGCCATCTAGAAAATAATAGAAAGCACAGCCGGTCAACCTATCAAGTATTTGATCCATGAAAGGAAGAGGAAAATGATCCTTCCTTATAACTTTGTTGAGCTTACGATAATCCATACAAACTCTCCAACCGGTGACCGTTCTTGTAGGAATCAACTCTTTCTTCTCATTGGTAAAAATCGTCATGCCCCCCCCTCCCCCCCCCTTCTTTGGGACACATTGAATCAAAGAGGTCCATAAACTATCAAAAATGGGGTGGACAACCCTGGCATCCAATCACTTGATAATCTCCTTTTTGACCACTTCTTGCATAGCTCATTGTGTATTCTTTGATGTTCAATGGATAGTTTAGTATTATCCTCCAAATTGATCTTATGCATGTAAAATATTGGGCTTATACCCCGAATGTCTGCCAAAGTCCACCCAATAGCTTTCTTCCTCTTTTGCAACACCGCCAATGTGAAATCAACCTGCACGTTAGTCAAACAAGAGGAAAGAATAATTGGTAAAGTAGAACAATGACCGAGAAATTCATATTGAAGGTGTGATGTCAATGTTTTCAACTCCAAAGTAGGTGGCTCTTCAATAAAAGGCTTTGTAGGAGGAGTCTTCCTATTCTCAAGATCGAAAGATAATTTCCGGGGTGCATAGTTGTACGGTCCCGTTCTTTGCAAAGAATTCACACATTCCATGAAACCATCCATCGCGTCATCATCAAAGTTGATCAAAACAGCTTCCAACATATTACTAACGTTGATTANGAAAGATAATTTCCGGGGTGCATAGTTATACGACCCCATTCTTTGCAAAGAGTTCACACATTCCATGAAACCATTCATCGTATCGTCATAAAAGTTGAGCAACACGGCCTCCAACTTATCACCAACATTAATTGTAGCATTTGTGTCATTAATAATAACGTCGTCCACAACATCCACAAATGAACACACTTTAGTGCTATTTGGTTGCCAAACCCAACTTCCTTGATTGTTGCTTCCCCAATATCCTTGGTTGCTGCCTCCCCAATTTCCTTGGTTGTTGTTGTTGTGTCAATTCCCTTGATTGTTAGAACCTCAATTGCCTTGGTTATTTTTGAGAACGCCATTGATTTTGATTGGAGCCTTAGAATTTGCTTTATTTCCCTTGGTAATTGTTCACAAATTGTACCCCTTCTTCTTTCTCTTGATAGGAATCATCTTGAGCAAAGCTACCATCATCTCGTGCATAATTTTTTACTCGGGGTTGAAATTGTGGACCTTGGTCCTCTTCTTGTTGACAAAAATATTTACGCCCTCCATATCATGAACTTGCTTAGGAGCTTGTACTTGATGAAGTTGGGCCTTAGTAATTTGAGTCATGGTTGTTTTTAATTCGTCAACTGCTTGCCCATAATCTTGCAACTATTTATAAATATGAATCATGTTGGGATCACCTTGGGGAACATTAGCTCGGAATTTCCAAGCCGAAGAAGTTTCCGCCATCTCATCAAGAATATCACATGCCTCCGCATAAGGTGCTATCATAAAGTTGTCTCCAATCAATTGATTGACCATACATTGGATCGTAGTATTAATACCATGGTAGAAAGTTTGTTGGATCATGTTGTCGTTCATATCATTGTTCGGTCACTCCTTCACCATTGTCCGATATAGCTCCCAAATTTCAAGCAAAGGTTCATTGGGCTCTTGTTTGAAAGCCAATATTTCATCCCGAAGAGTAGCCATGTGCCGGGAAGAGAATAACTTTGAAATAAACTTCGCCGTCAATTCATACCAAGTATGGATAGAATGATTAGGCATGCGTTCCAACCAATCTAAAGCCTTACCCCTTAGTGAATAGGGAAAAAGCCTTAGCCTCAAAGCATCTTTCGAAACATTTGTTTGTTTGCTTCCCCAACACGTATCCACAAAATCTTTCAAATGCTTGAAAGTATTTTGATTCGACTCCCCGGTGAAATAACCCTGTTACTCGAGCAAAGTAAGTATCACATTGGTAACTTGAAAGTTTCTCGCCCTAATGCTAGGGGGGACTATGACACTTGCATAACTTTCATTGGGCAAAATTCAATATTACGCCACTTATGGTTGTAGTGGTGGAGGTGGGGGAGGGGGATGGAGGCACATTGTCTTGTTGACCACGGCCTTGGCGATTTTGTTGTAGAGCTTGAGGCATTTCATCAAGTTTCTTGTCTTCGCCATCCACCTCTCCCAATGGCAAGTTTCCAAGTTTTTTGTTCGCCATTTGGAACCTATGATCACTTCAACAAATTAGAATCATAAAAGTAAAAGAAGATATTTCAAGAAACAAACTCAAGTATAGCTAACACCGTAAAAACTCTCCTGCAACGGCGCCAAAAATTGGTCACAGTCAAATAACAATTATGAAATGGTCGTTGTAATTATAATACCCAATTTGAGTTGGAGTCGCATTCCACAGGGAGTTTAAGATCGGTATTAAGGTATATACTCAAGAAGAGAACGTGAAATAGCTTAATTAGACTTTCAAATACAAAAGGTGATTGTTATCTAAGTTAACAGCTAAGAAATTAGACTAAGTAATAGCAACTAGAAATTGAATTATTTTTGGTATTTTTAATCAATTAAGGAAAAGCTTAGGGATGTAACCTTCACCTAGGTATAAATCTAATGGGTATGGTAAGGTAATACTTTCTTGGTAGATTGGGGTATATTATGACTCTCAATTCTCAAGTACCCACTCAATTCCTCTCGGTTATATAGTGGTTATGCACAAATTGGCTTTCTCAAAACCAAATGGGCAGTAATCTAAGCAATTGATATGAATCCAAGTGGGATTTTCCCTTCTCTAGTTCAAATTCTTTAACCAAACTAGTCAAAATCTAACTAGCTCAATTTCTTGTTAGCCAAGTTTTCCTAGACTAGGTTCCTCTTTCTCAAGTAAGAAGTAAGTCAAATAGGCATGAATCAATGTTTGCAACCATTAATTCTAGATATAAAGTATAAACAATGCTAAATAACAAACATTCAATCATAAACAAGCATTAATATTAGCAACCCATAAGTTTTACACACTAGGGTTGGGTCACAACCCTAGATAAAATCTAGTTATTCATGCTTGGAGACATAGAAACTAAAATAAAAGAAGTAATTGAAGATATAAACTACAATTAAAAGATAAAAGTAGTGGGTCTTCTTCAATTTTGATAACTTTCCCAAAAAATAAAATATAACCGCTACAACTGTTGGGAATACAAAAGTTGCCCTAAAAGTGTTTTATGTCTATTTATAGTGTCCAAAATTTCGCTGACAAAAAAGTCTTTCAAGAGGTTCTGTGGCCGCACTTTCTTCTACTATTGCAATAAGAGAAAATTTGCGGGTGCACAATTATCTCTGATGCACGTCAGCTTCTGCGGTCGCACAGTTTGGTTGCGGACCGCATTCTCAAGAGGCTTCTCACTGGTCTTCTGCAGCTTCTCTAAACTTATCAAACTTGTCAGTGCGACCAGCTTTTGCAGCCGCACAATTTGTTGCGCGGCCCACACTCCTACTAAACACCTATGAGGCTTCAAGGGTTTATCTGCGGCCGCACTTCAGCTTCTGCGAACCACATATTCATTTGTGGCCGCATAATTAACTATGCGGACCGGACTTCTGTTTTGCATTACCTGTATTTGACTTGTTGAGTTGGAATACTCCTTTTTGAGTTAGATTTCTTCTTCGAGCTCCAATCCTCCAACATGACTGCAATCACACAATCTCATTAGATTTGGAAATAAAAATCATTACTTTCGGACTAAAACTAAAGCAAGAAGGTATTAATAAGTAGTTAAAATCCACACTTATCACTAAGTGAACCAAAGGCTTGAGAAGTTATCGTGATCCTCTCCAACGGAAAAGAAGACAAAAAATGATAAAAGGAAAAAAGGAAAAATATTGAGTATTCAACGGTAACTGGTGTTAGACTACTGAAAATTGAAAATAATATTAGAGCCTCCTGTCATGAATATTGTTACTGTCACGTGTCTCTGAAGGAAATTCGAATCCCTCGTCTTAGTTCCTAAACCATCTTTTGACTATGTATCTCTATTAAGTTGTCTCGCAAAGATTAACACAGTAGTGTTTGTTTCAATTGTCCTATGATCTTGGTTGAGATGTATGTAGAACGCATGTATATTGAAATATTAACTCAATAGTTTTTTACCTTAGTTTCATTCTTACAATATGGTTGTCCTTATAATTGTTGTAATAGCCTTTCTGTTACTACCATGGAGTAGCTCTATGCGGCCATGTTATGTAAAAAGTTTCTTCATAACAACAACAAAATATGAGTTGACGATGTTTTGTTTTTAACTTTGTTCGGAAATACTAGCAGCATTTTTTGCTTTTAAAGAAATTTGCAGCCTATAATTTTGAATGTTTTAAAAATGAGTTTTATCACATCAACGTTTGAAAGGATCTTAGTTAAACAAAAAATATTAAATTATCCTTTTATTCTATAAATCTATTCATGTTCACGGTTCACAGCAGTGTTTTGGATAGCGTGCGGTGACAAATAGCGACGAGGGCCCGCTCCACTGAGGCAAGAGACGCGCAGCGAAGCGCTCGCCTTTTTGATGTGAAGCGACAATTTATACAAAAACATAAAATATTATATACATATAACTAAAAACTCAATAACAATAATATATTAATAAATATATCATTCAAAAATTAAAGACTCAATAGATAGTCATAGACTCATAGTAGATTCATAAACTAAAGTCTAATAGTCTAAAACAAGCAACGTCTATTCTTTTTCAAGATTTTCAAATTCTACAACTTCATGAATGTTAGCATTATATTGGCTATCATCTTCTTCATCCTCGGAGTTTTCATCAATTAGGGACCGGCTTGAACTTGCTACTCCCTTTCCCTTGTAACTTGAAGAACTCCCTCTAAGACCATAGATATTCTCCTCAACTCCAACCGCCATAGAAACAGTACCCCAATCAAGATCATCTCCTTCATACACTTGTTCATCTTCATGATTTTGGGGGGCTCCAGTTAACCATTCATTTGCCTCGTCAATGTTGTCCAACAAAATTGGATCAATGGTATCGCGAGCTTCATAACGTCGCCTCAATGTTCTATTGTATTTAATATACACTAGATCATTGAGACGCGATAGCTCAAGCCTATTCCTTTTCTTGGAGTGAATCTGCGCATAAGTTGTTTAGATTAATTAATCGATACTAATAATAATACAATATAAAATATATTAATATAATAAATCTACTTCTTACATGCTCAAATACGCTCCAATTTCTCTCGCATCCAGATACACTACAAGTTAGGCTTAGTACTTTGATGGCAAACTTTTGCAAGTTTGGAGTTTGATATCCAAATTGCTTCCACCATTCAACTATAGAAAAATATTTTAAAAGTTAATAAGTATAAATCAAATAAATTAATTTAAAGTTATAAGGATATCTATATTAAAGTTAGTTACCTGGCGACCTTATGTCTCTGGCTCTAATGGCCGCTTGTAAACCAAATAGGTCCTCTGCTTGTGAGTACCTACCAAACTCTTCCCCTATTTGATCTATCGTCGCTGAATTAGGGACCAACTTCTCAAGACATGCATGGTATCCAATCCACACCTCTGAAGCCAAAGTTTCATCTCTAGTGTTCTTGTAAAATAATCCTGGGTTCAGAAGATGGCCTGCTGCATGCAAAGGTCGATGGAGTTGATTCTCCCACCTGATATCAATTATCTCAAAAACTTTCTCATATTTTCTAACATCTCCCTCAAAAGACGCTGCAATAGTCTCTTTGGCTCTATCCATAGCCTCATAAAGATAGCCTATTGGTGGTTTTCTCTCCCCATCCACCATACGAAGTACCTTAATCAAAGGACCACTAACTTTAAGAGCCCGAACGACGTCATTCCAGAATGATGGAGAAATAAGAACTTTGGTAGTTTCTTTTCCCGCAACTTCCTTTGCATATCTATTATCTTTCCATTCATTTGAAAGAACTAGCTTTCTCAATTTTTTCTTTTGCAAGTAAAAACTATGCAAAGTTAAGAAAGCCGTTGCAAATCTAGTCTTGGCCGGTCTCACCAAATTTCTTTCATTTGTGAATTTCCTCATCAAATTCAACAACAACGGCCTCTGACTGATGTAAGAATATACCCTGACGGCCTTAGTGAAAACTGTAAAAGTAACAATAATAATTTTATAGTTAATACTTAATAGGATAGGACATAAGTATAAATAACTATATTAAAGTTACCTGAAGCATATGGGTTTTCCTTGAATATGTCACCAAACATCAAGTTGATACAATGGGCAGCACATGGAGTCCAATAAATGTGTGGATACATAGCTTCCATCATCCTACCCGCACTAACATTCTCACTAGCATTATCTGTAATAATTTGTACAACATTTTCCTTTCCAATTTTATCAATAGTCTTTCTAAACAAGTTGTACATTTTGCTTCCATCCGTAGAAGAGTTGCTAGCATCGTGAGATTCAAGAAAAACACTCCCTCTTGGAGAGTTCACCAACACATTTATGATCATTTTTCCATTCCGTGCTGTCCATTTATCCATCATAATGGAACATCCAAACTTGTTCCATTCCACTTTATGCTCCTCAATAATTTGGTCTATCTTCTTCACCTCTTTTTTAAGATGAGTTACTCTAACTTCATGATAGCTAGGAGGCTTCATTCCTGGGCCATATTGTCCTACAGCTTCAATGAATTTATCAAAAGTTTTGTAGTTAACACAGTTGAAAGGAAGCCCTGCATCATACATCCATGCTGCAAAGGCACTTACGGCGCGGTCTCTCAAAATCTTCTTGGCTTCTAAACCTAGACCTTCTTCACCTTTTCCCTTTTCTTGTTGTTTTGCCGAGAAATAAAGATTGAGAGGACCTTTTGTCACTGTACGTGCCGTCGTGGATGACCCACTAGAACTATTTGAAGATATCTTATGAGTTTTTTGGGGGGGGAGGTCTCATTTCACCATCTTCATCCATTTCATCATCTTCATCAATTAGATTCACCGATGCTTCAAAATTCATTTGAGTTCTTGTCACATTTTTCTTATCAACAAACGCTTTTACTTCCTCCCTAACCTCGGGCGGACAAAGGGGACATTGTACTACATTTTTAAATCCACCTATCAAATGTTGCTTGTGACGAGTTATCCCACCATTATATGTTTTTTCACAAAATACACATTTAATTGCGGATCTTGATGAGCCTTGTATAGCATAATTCCAAGCTATATCATTTCGTTTATTACTATCGGATGACATTTCAACGCTGTTTTATTGAAAAAAAAATTATCAAGTCAATATGCAATTAATTCTACTCTATAAGAGACTATAAGTCAATAATTGAAAAAAAAAACGGGGCCTGAAAGAAACAGAAAGTTTGTTAAGAGAAGAAGCAACCTCTGTTATTTTGCAAAAACAGGGCTTCGAAACAACCTCTGTAATTTTGCAAAAATAGAGTTTCAAAACCTCTGTTATTTTGCCAAAACAGAACCAAAAAAAATAGAGCACAAAAACAGACCTCTCTTTCTGTTAAGAGAAGAAGAAACCTCTGTATTTTGCTCGAAAAATAGAGCAGAAAACAGACCTCTGTTTCTGTTCTTTTCGACAAAAAACAGAGGAAAAAAAATAGAAAGAAGAAGAAGAAGAAGAAAGAAGAAAGAAAAAAGAAGAAAGAAGAAAGGAGAAGAAGCATACCTGGACTTTCAATGGCTGGAACCTCAAGCTTCTGAAAGAAGAAGACGATGGCTCGCGAGTTCAGAACGTCAAAGTCTCAAAGAAGCTCTGTTGTTTTGTTCAAGTTAAAGAAGATATGTTGTCAAGCCCTAATCACGACCCTTTTTGTTGAGTCTTTGCTTTTTTTCTTTTTTAAAAAAAAATAAATAAAAGGCGACGCTATGGTCGCTTCTCGCGATACTGTCGCCTCTCACCACGCAGGCAGAGGCGAGCACTATTTCGAAACGCAACGCAACAGAGGCTCTGTGGCGACACTGTCTCGCCTCCCCTCATGCTATTAGCGCTGAGGCGAGCGCTATTTATAACACGGGTTCACAGAAAGTGTCTAAATCAAAATATACTGTTTTTTAACTATCATTTTCATATGGTTTATATATCACAATAAATGTCTAAATAGTATGTTAAATTCTTACTTAATTCTATTCATTTTCATACGTGTCGATATAACTGTTATAGAGAAGCTTAATTTTAACGGAAAACCTATTCGCTTAGGTTTAAAAATACCCTTCGTTCACCTATTTTGTAAAAATTACCCCTAACGTCAACTTTCCGGCCTACTCATACCCTGGAAAACTAACGGCCCTATTTTGATTAAGAAAATTTTTTATTACTTATTATGTGTCAATTTTTTATTGGCTTAAATTAAAACCTCACCCCCACATCCACTTATTATCCCATTCCATGATCCAAAATATCCATACCTGACCCGTGAACCGCTTTTTAAAATGCCCTAACTTCACCTGTCACTCTCCTCTTCCATCCTACCCTCCCACTCCACATTTTTTGTAATCATCCTCCTCCATGGCCAAAGTACAATAAGTCACCATGGCTGACAGAGGACCACCATCGGCTTCAACTTTTAGATCTTCACCCTTCAACACCCGCGGATCTCCCTCACCCACTCAGATTTTTTGGCCTTAATTTCATTTTTAAATAAACATTTTTTTGTTAAATCAATTTTCTGAGTGAAATCTGGTATTCTTTGAAATTAAATTAATGGTTCATTTTAAGATTTTATGGTTTAATAAGTTATCTTTTTGACAAAATTATATTTGTTGTGCTACCATGTAGATTTTTGGAGTTAATTGAAATCATGTGAGAAAATTAGCTTCATAGTTCTTCAGCGGTGATTTAGTTGGAAAACTGTCAGCGGTGATTAAGTTGGGGAAGATGAACAAGGAAAGGGATAAGGTACCAAATAATAAATTAATAAAAAGAAAAGTATGAAATTTTGACAAATGAAACCTAAATAACAATTGGATCATGAGTCGGGTATGGAATATGGTATTTGAGTGGCTAAAAAGGGCTTAACAGGTTGGAACGACTAAGATGGATCGTGGGCGGGTTATTTACGGATCAAATCTGGGTTAGTGGGATTTTTAATTTTGAACAATAATCAATTGCCATGTCATATATAATAAAAAATATTTTTATTCAGCAGAGGTCCATCAGAAATAAGGGCATGAATGGGCCAGATTTTTAACAGTGAGGGCAGTTTTTATAAAATAGGTGGACGAATGGTATTTTTAAACCTAAAAGAATAGGTTAGCGGCAGTTGTGGCCCTTTTCTGTAATTTTAATAAGTCGATTTTAATTAAAGGCATCCCACCTATCTTCTATGCTCATGCTATTATAATAGTCCTTTGATTAATATTTTTCAAATTGGACGTAACATTTAGGAACCTATTGTATGCTTATGATATTTTAATTTCACTTAATTTTTCTCTAAACAATAGATCATATCGCTCCAGTGACAGTGAAATTAAGAGGCCTTTGTTAACATATTTATATAGCAAAGGGACAGTGGGTGTAGCAATGAATGTTTTTTTTTCCCAATTATATTGGAACAATTATTCTATAGAAAGTACTATTCTCCTACCACTAGTAATTATTTTATATGGTACTTCAAGGTCATCACCTATAGCATTACTACACTTTTTAGTTATTATGGTTATTCCAATGTGTTTGCTATATTAATAAAAGCTCACGCCAATACAAATTATTCCTGTTTTTAAACTGAAGACTGTTATAGAATTAAATTACGCTTTTATTCTATAAATCTGCTCATGTTCACAGTTCACTGAAAGTGTCTAAATCAAAGTATGTTGTATTCCTTCTACCCATTTTTATATGTGTCTATATATCACAACAAATGCCTAAATAGTATGTTATATTCTTTCTTAATACCATCCATTTCCATATGTGCCGATTTAACTGTTGTAGAGAAGCTTAAAGGCATCTGACATCTCTTGTATGCTCATGCTATTAGAATAGTCCTTTAATTAATATTTTGCAAACTGGAAGTTAGATTTAGGAAAGTATTATTATGCTTATGCTATTTTGATTTCACTTGATGTTTTTCTAAACAATAGATTATGTCGCTCGCTCCAATATTAATTAGTTTAGTTCTCTTCTAACAGGTTCGAATTCCCAGGAATACTCGCTCAAATAATTAGTAAAGTTACACTTTTAAGTTATTACGGTTATTTCAATGTATTCACTATATTAATAAAAGCTACCACCAGCACGAATTGTTGCTACTTCTACGAATGTTTTAAGTTATTGTGTATTTGAAATGACACAATCAGGGCGGATCTACCTTCAATCCAAATGAAGAAACAAGAAAATAGTAAAATATAATAAAATGACACTGCTTGTTACAAAGAGCTGAGTATGTGAGGCTGCAAGTTTGAACCTCAGCAGCCTCATTTTATGTTTTAATACTTTTGTGCCTCATCTGGAAAATATACATGCCCAAGGGGGTTTGAACCGCTGACCTCTTAGAGATTATCACACTGAACCAGTGGATCATAAATTAGAGTTGAGGACAATATTACAATACATTTACAATATTTACGGATGTTGTTGCTTCCTTTATAAGCTTTGTTATTTTTTTGGTTGTTTTTTTAAATATGCTATTATTACAGTAATTTAATCTTTTTTTCACGTTTAAAATGGTGACACCACTTATAAAAATTCCTGCATACGCCCCGGGACACAATAAATCATACTACCTCCGTTCCAGTTTATGTGAACCTATTTCCTTTTTGGTCCGTTCCAAAAAGAATGACCTCTTTCTAAATTTGGAAATAATTTTGCTTAAACTTACAATTATATCCTTAAAGAGAAGCTTTTATAACCACACAAATATTCTGGGCTCCTTTTTGAATTGTTTAAGACCACAAATTCCAAAAGTCTTCATTTTTTCTTAAACTCCGTGCCCAGTCAAACAGGTTCACATAAATTGAAACGGAGGGAGTAATAGAAACCACACAACCTATTTATATTTAATATTATATTATTTCATTGTCCATATAACCATCTGAGGTGCGACTGAAATAGAATTATCAAAACGAAGATGTACCTATTAGCAAGGTACCAAAATATTCATCCGATTGGATTATGAAAGTCTTGGTGATTCGAAGGGGTACAGTAATACCATACAAAATCCAAAGGCACGAAGGTGTTTTCAGAACTCATAATAGTTGATGAAGAGGTAATGTCATTCTACATTTGTTAACTTTACTTTACTAATTCATATTGTCTTTATTTATCACCTAAATTGTTGGTTGCATCTATAATAAGGGGTAAAGATCCAAGCAACGCTTTTTAATAAGCACGTAGAAAAGTGAAAGGGTTTCTTCGAACCAAAGAAGAGTTACTATATTATCAATAGATGTTTCGATCGTGCCAATCCGAACTACACCTTGGTTTACAAAGAACTATACTCTATATCATAAAGGAATCCGAAAAAGATATTCCCACCCAAAAATTCTCAAATATTTTTTATTCTTGGAAGAGGCGGAAAAGTAAACTGACGACACTATCTTTATAGGAATAAAAGAATCATTTTAGTGCATAAATACTAGGTACTTATGACTAATTTCAGTCTCATGCTTTTCAGATGTAGTTGGTATGTTAGTTACAATGAAACCGCTTATTGGAGAAGGCCGGAGCAGTAGAAGAGAGATAATAGTTTTACTATATAATTTCTCAAAATATTAAAGAACCCAAAAATTTACTAGCATCCGCGCAACTCTGTACATATTCTAATGCTAAGGGCATGTCAATAGTACCGTACTCGTTTTACAAGTGAAATATATTCTTCTCACCTCCTGCTTTTTCCTCATTATCAAGTGCTCAGTTTTGTTAAAGTGATGAGTAAAAAGCAAGAACTTACAAATTGAAGTTTTAAGCTGCTGCTTTTGATTACAAAATTACTGCTCAAGTTACTTGACCCAGTACAAGTGAGCATGAATGCTTAAACTCAAAAAGACGTACCATTGACAAAAATATGCAGTTATTTACAGATGCTAGCACTTAATTTACACAACAGGAACTTAGGAAAATGTAAGAAAATTCAGAACCAAATGCCACTACGCAATTCTAGTGCTACCATGAGACAGATATTATTAACTTACACGCCAATGAATGCCCGGCACTGATTATCCCAATGCTCCTTAACAAGCCGAACCCTTTCTACTCTCTCCGTCTGAAGGCGCTCTTTCCAATACTCAGGGCAACTGTTCGAAAAAGTGGAATTGTATTAGAACTAACAGAAGCAACAAGAACGCACCAGATAAACTCCTTCGGCGTTGATAAACCTAAATAGACCATGCATTACAGAAGAAAGATACCTTCTGCTCAATAGAATATTAAGCTCTTCTAGACGCATAGCACCTTCATAAACTCCTTCCTGATTCACATAACAAAAAATATAAGACGAATGTTATGTTACAAAGCAAAAAACATTTACACATAATACCAGTACAAGCAAATCATAATTGGAGAAGAAATAAGCCAGTGCAGAAGCTAGAAAACAAAGAGATCAACTATAACTAAACAAAAATTATCAACGTCCCCAAATTTCTTAATAACATTAATCTTTGTATTATTAATCAGATTCTGCAAAGCAGATACGTCTTCATCATGTTTCCCACGGGTTCATAAATCCACGTGAAATCCTTTTCCTTGTTTCAAGGGGTGGATTGGCAAACTGCTATACTGTAACCAGAGGAAACAAGTCCAGGGGAATATTTTGATTTTAAATAACTTGTTTAT